ACAGCAGCACTTTCTGGAAGTCCCTACCACTGGATCTCTCCAGTCACCATGTGATGGGCATGTTATAGCTGAGGATGGCCAATTGATGAGGAGCCTGGGTGAGATGCACACGGTTCTTGTTCACATGTCAGAAGTGCAGTTCCCCCTTTTAGCAGCTGGAATCCAGGGTTGGTTACACCATGAATAAAATCATGTTGGCATCTACCCAGTATCTTATAGGCAAATGCCCCATGTCCTAGGGTTGTTAGGAAACCTGTGGCATAGAAGATCTAGCCAACTTATTGGCCAACAAATACTCTCAATAGGTTATTCTTTTCTTGTGGTTTAAAGTAGCATACAAGATAGAAGGTTAACTATCCTAAGCAAACTGTCCTTGAAGAAGTTATGTAACTCACCTGGAACTCAGTCTCCTTAATGGCAAAAATGTAAATAGTAACATTCATGCCCTTTCAGGGTGATTGTGAAAACTGGGTGAAACCAGGCACACTAGGAGGCTGGTGCCGAGAGAATGCTCAGTGGGGGCTAGCTGTTGTGTTCTTCAATTTGTTTCTACAATTACTGGTCCTGGAGGTTGACAGCAGAGCCTCATAAAAACTAAACCCATAGTCTGCCACTGAACTCCACCCCCAGCCCCTGGAACATTTTTGATTTATCCTTCACCAGATGCAATTTGCTCAATGGCAATCCCAAGAGATGGTATTAAGACAGAAGAAAGTTTGAGTTTTCCAACCCACTCTTGGGCTCTTGGCAGGCTTGGGTATAACACAGAAATAGCTATGCTCCAAGGGAGATAAGAAAACAGCCATAATAATTGGCTGGGCTATTTCTCCTTTGGAGAAATTGCCCGGTCATTTAGAAATGTGCTCTGTCCTATAAATGTGAGTGATGAAACTGATAATCTTTCCCTTCCTCTCCAGAGGGAAAGCCTTGGCGCCCAAGTAGATATGCACACCTGATGAGGATTCCAGTCGCTGTCAAAGATGACCACTGTGTCCGCAGCCTGAAGATTTAAGCCCAGGCCCCCAGCTCGTGTACTCAGCAAGAAAATGAAATACTGGGACCCAGGTTCATTGAATTTCTTCAGCAAAGCAGCCCGATCTTCAGACTTGGTGGTGCCTGAGGGGATAAGAAAAATAAATTTGCCAATTAACTTCTGTCCGGAAAAGGCAGAGACAAAAATGCCTGCTTTCTTGAAAGATACATCCACAGTCTTCTTAAGCACTGGTGAGGTAATTCTTGGGGTTTATATAGTTTTGGAAGGAAATTAAAGCATTTTGCAATTAGAAAAAAAAAAAAGGAAGGAAAGGAAGAGAGTGTTTATACATTTCTGACCAGAAACCTTTGCAACTTCACAAATTCTAGAAAATTCTTACTCTAAGATGTAATGAAAACATCCAAGTGAAGGACTGTTGCCATTCTGAAGGCTTGAAGCCACAATATCTAAAAGTGAACCTCCGTGCTGCTCAGGCTAAGTTGCTGCTCTTTGGGTTAAAAGATACTAAACTTGGGGGTTACCCTCTTCAAGGAGCAGATGGGAGGTAGGGCGGGAGCAATGGGGGTGGGGTGGGAGGAGAGGAGGGAGGGGGAATGCGTATTAGAATGTAAAAAATAAATATTTTCTTTTCTGACCTGGTAGACAATGAGTTTTTTTTAATTCTTTTTTATTTGAATTAGAAACAAGATTGTTTTACATGACAATCCCAGTTCCCTTCTCCCTCCCGTCCTCCCCTACCACCTCCCCAATGGCTCAGCCGTTAAAGGCTAGGCTCACAACCAAAAATATAAAAAATAAATATTTTAAAAAAAGATCCTAGCACTGCAAAAAATAAATATAAGACGACAAAAAAAAAAAAAAGATGCTAAACAAACACCAATGAACCAAGCAGACGGTTAGATTCCAGGGCGGTCATAGCAGGGAGTGTTGAAGAGTACAGGCTTCAGCAGAGATCACTGATCCCCAAGTGTGGTGCTCACTTGTGGACACACCTGTGAGCTCACTTGTGGAGCTCACTTATGCTCCACTCTAGCCATCTGGAACGTATTTATCCAGCCTCTTCATAAAATGCACCGTGGAAGGGACAGCGCTAAACTTCACCAGTATCCCACCTGAATGTATTTTGTTAGGGAAGCTGGATTCTGAACAGGCTGATGGGGAAAAGCTAAGCATGTTACATGATACTCCCTGGCTGGCCACTGGACAAATGTTGCCCCTCTGAGTTGTTCTTTTTTTAGGATGAAAATATACCACGATTTATGTCAGAGGATTAAAACATTTAACTGACGCCAGCCAAAGGAATCAAGTTACTCACTAGGGCCAAGTCCCAAACACGGAGGATCTGGTTTCTACATTTTGTAGAAATAATGAGCATTCTCGGGGGGGACGAGAATCAATCCCCCAAATATAGCAAGTGGAGATTAGGAGTGGGTGGGAGGGGTGGGGAGCTTTCCTCCTGTAACAAAGCAATGTTCTTCAGACTAGTCTTACTTTCTAAATTAGAATTTTTTATTTTGGTTTGGTGAGCTGCTCAAATCCTTCCAGAGGGAACTGAAGGAATCTGGACTTGGGGGAGGGGTGGCTTATTGAGTAGGGTCTGAAACTTGCAAATCTTTTTTTTTTGTTTTTGTTTTTTCTTTTTTCACAACCGGCTTGCTGATATTAGAGCAAACCATTTGTCCATGACAATAATGAAGGGAAGACATGTTTTGTTTTGCAGGCAACCTTCCCTATACTGACTTTGCAGTTACAGTCTTCCACACAGAAAGAAAATCTCTGATGCCCATCTCACAGTTTTAGGGGCCCCTGTCTATTATTAATTGGCAAGTTTATTATGTGCCCTTATAAAACAGCATCATGACCGAAGGGTGTATATGGCTACCTAGTGACTAGGACACAAAAAAGCCTAAGGGAGGGACTGGGGCCGAACACTTCCTTGAAAGCTGTGTCCCCAGGGACCCAGTGACTTCCCACTAGGCCCTACCCTTATAGGTTCAATCACATCCCAGTAAAGACATTTCTGGGGAACAAACATTTAACAAAAAGGAATGGGGGGGCTAAAAATCTAACTAGAGCTCTTATCCCCCCCCCATAAGTGAGAATTCTTTATGAAAACCACACCCACCCTTTAGCTAGGGAGGGATAGTGGGGATTGAACCTAGGACCTGTACATGTTAGGTAAGCACTCCATTTATAACCTACGACAAGTCCTGAAGAACTCCCTAACCCTATACTTGATCTCCTACACAGGGTTCAGTTTGAGCAGAGTTTAACATTGTAAGCTTGTTCCGGTATGTTGTATGTCTTGAAATATACTTGTATGTAGGTAATGCCAGTTGCAACATTAGATTACTTCCAAGGAATCATCACCAACATGTTTGTCCTCTGCCTTAACCGGAAAACAAACAAACAAACAAAATACTTCTAAAATGGGGAAGGGAGAAATAATGCCATGGGTTCCTTAGCAGCCAGGAACAGAAACTTGTGCTTGGATACTCTGAGGCTTCAACCTTCAACATTTTTAATCATTGAAAAATGATCTGGTCTTAAGATATGAATAGAACCACCTGGGAAACATGCCTACCTAGGATGAAATAACCTCCAGTGTAAAACAGAGCACCGAAAAATAGCAGTGTCAAAATGCTTTAGTCAAAGCAGTCCTTGGGCTCTCCACCAGAGAGCTCAGGCAAACAGACCAAGCATGTGTCTTCCAAGGGTTCCAAGGGCTTAAACTGCAAAAAACAGCTGGAGATTTGACAGATTATAAAAATAAATTAAAAAAACATTCAATCGCTTTCCATGTGAAGCCACAGTACTTCCTACGAGGAGACTCAGAATTTCCTGGCTTGTCACCTCCATCCGGAGACACCAGCACAAGGTCACTGCTGCTCACTTGCAACCTCTTCAGTATTGCTAGGGGAGTCTCAAACTGCCCTGCAAGGGGTCATCCAAAGACAAGTGCTCCTTGCCCACTGCAGGTGCTTGGGATTTAAAGTGCTCGTCGGCCCCAGCATCTATTTCAAGGTGTATGAGACATGACCCTTACAGGAACACAATTAACAGCAAGGGGCAACTGTGTTGACAACTACAGAATTTGCCGCAAGGAACACATTGCCAGGCTGTCATGCCTGCTAATTTCTCACTGCGTTTTGGCTGTCTTAGGAAAGTTCTGTCTTCTGGATGAAACTTCACCATTTGCACTCACAAAGGAAAAGAAAAATCATTTCCCATGACAACAAAACAATAGGACAGTAGCTAAACCTATCTGTGCAATCACAGTCTTTGAAGAAAAATATTTGCTTAGCTTTTAGAAAGAGATTTTTTTTCCTCCTGAAGCCAAAGTTGAGATGTCAAATTCAGTAATGATAATCTGAAGAGCTTTTATGACCTGGATGATAGGGCAGTGTGGGGAGCATCTGGAAGGGTAAATAATACCATAGCCATGTGTACAGCACTCTCCACTTCCACAATGAGGGGCTGCAGTTTGTAATGGGGAAAGCCTGTCTAGGCACCACGGCCCCTACATGACACTGTTGCACAACTCCATCTCTCCTGAAAGCAGAACAGCAAGCTGCCTAGGTGTCTTGTTTCCCTCGCTCTCAGCTGTGTGGCCAAGTTTAGAATCCTTAGGATGCTGCTGATGGACAAGCTAGCTGTCCTTCAAAGGTGGTGGTACTTCCCTGGACGTGCTCAAACCAAGCATTTTTGGAACTAGATAATCCACATTAGAAGTTGGTTTCACAGCTCAGCCTTGTGTTCGATTCTTCTAAATGGAGATTGTACTGACAGGCACAAAAGACAATTTGTTGAGAACATTAACAATGCCCATGAAGTGTTTTTCCTTTTGTTCTGCATGCAACCTTACATTAACTGTTAAGGTTATTAATATACATAACAATAAGAACAACCAAATAGTTGAATAGGTAAGCAAACAGGAGACTGGAAAATCACTATTTACCACTTTTAGATGTTTCTGTTGCTGTTAAATGTTGTATGTGTGCACTTTGCATACACACACACACACACACAAGTATATCTCACATTTGTGCAGTGCTCATGGAGGCCAGAAGAGGGCACTGGAATCCTTGGCACTAGAGTTACAGATGGTTGCAAACTGCTGTGTGGGTGCTGGGAACTCAACCCAGCAAGTGCTTATAATTGTTGAGCCATCTTTCTAGGCCTTCTTCAGTTGTATAGATTCAAACCTTCCCAGGGTAGGGTACTCACATGGAGATTCAAAAGGAAGTAGCAACAGCATTAGGCAGATACCTCAGGGTGGCTAGCAACTTAGAGCTGGGGGAGTGAGGGGGGATTAAACCTGTCTGCTTTACCTGAGCCATTACAGGAGACGCCCACAGTGGGAGAGAGGGCACCACTCCAAGAGGAAAAAAAATCCACTCAGATTTGATGAAAGAGAGATAGAGATAGATAATAAGAGTATCTAGAGACACACATTCATGCTGACTTAAGCATTCATCAGTTGGCAACTTTGGAGATGAAGGATAAAGGGGCTTTAGATTGAGTGTCTGATGACACAACTAACTTTAAATAAGACTAAAAAGTTTATGTTAACTTAGTAAGACCCCAAGAGGTAGGCCATACAGAAAATGAACCTAAAGACTCAAGTTAGAAAACATTTGCCAAGTGTGCTTTATTTATTTCTAATTAACCACGTATGTGTGTGTGTGTGTGGGGGGGCATCAGAATTAAAATAGCCCAAAACCTTCTAAGGTTATATACATAAGTGTGCTTTATTTATTTCTAATTAACCACGTATGTGTGTGTGTGGGGGGGGCATCAGAATTAAAATAGCCCAAAACCTTCTAAGGTTATATACATTTTAATTTCCTACTCGATTAACAATGACATTACACTGCATCAGATAAAAATGGTTATTAGGAGGCTGGGTTCTCTGCACCCAGAGTCACATGCCTCTTGCATATATACCTGCTCTAATCCCTACATACCACTTTTATTTTGTTTGTTTGTTTTGTGTTTTGCGTTTGTTTTTTTTTTTTTTTTTCCAAGAAAGGGTTTCTCTGTGTAACAGCCCTAGCCTTCCTGGAACTCTCTTTGTAGCCCAGGGTGGCCTTGAACTTATAGAGACCCACCTGTCTCTGTCTCCTGAGTGCTGGGATTAAAGCTGTACACTACCAGGACCAGTCCAATTTCATCCTTGAATTTAGGTAACTTCTTTAAATAGCTTGTGTGCTTGTTACTTTATGTCGACTTGATACAAGCTAGAGGTTTTTGGGAAGAGAGAACCTCAATTGAGAAAATGCCAATTCCAGAATGGCCTGTGGTAAGCCTGTGAGGCATTTTCTTGGTTGATGAGTTATGGGCAGAGCCAACTTGAGTAAGTGATCCTGAGATGTACAAGAAAGCAAAGTTAGCAAGCCAGTCAGGAGTGTTCCTCCATGTGTGACCTGGAAGCTAGAAGATGAAATAAACCCAATCCTCTTCAAGTTGCTTTTTGTCAGAGGCGATTTGTCACAGCAATGGAAACCCTAATTAGGACAGTTTGCAGAATCCAGGTAGCTATGAAGTTTTATCTCTTAATAATGTGGCTTGTACCTATAGACTATTTAGAGACAGAGACCTCAATGGCAAACTCAGAAATGAACCATTAGACTGTTACTGAATAGAGAAGACATACAGTGTATCCTTTAAAATATGTCAAAGGTTTGTCAGCATACTTCATGGCTCATACAGTTGGGACTAAGGAGTTAAGCTCTTCTGCTCTGTCCAATTGTACTTACACAGGGTTCTGACTCTGTGTTGGTGTCTATGAGAGATAAACAAGTGTGCAAATCATGTCATGATGTGAAGGGCATCAGAAGACATAAACTTTGCATCTAGCAGACCCACAACCAGCCCTCAGGCCCACTTCTTGGTGTTATTCCTCCTTTTTGGCTGAGACCATAGTTCAGGAGTCACGGCCTCTTCGCTTTCAATACTGTGATTTGAGTCTGACGCCTCCCGCACTTACCATCAAGGCGCAGGTAAAGGAAGTTCCGAAAAGCAAAGTAATCCTCCATGATGGTCATGAGAGACGTCATCTGGCAGAAAAGCAGCACGCGGTGGTTAGTTGCTCTCAATTTGGGCAGAATACGATCAAGTAGCTCAAACTTTCCTGAGGCCCGATACAGCTCAGCCCTGAACCCAAAAATGCAAAACAAGAAGGCAGTATTACTGCTGTCTTCTTGAGAGATCCAGAAGTGCTTAGCTTTGCAGATAGAGCCTTGCACATAGTAAACATTCAATAAGGAACTGTGGATGGAAGGGTGAATGAACAAACGGATACCAGGTCCAAAGCCATGCATGCATTTAGAGGGAAAAAAGTGCCACCCGTACAAAACCCATGAAGGGTATGGTGTGCATGATACATATGTGACATGTGCCAGGAAAAAAAAAGGGGGAACTTTCCATAGCTCTAAGATTATTCATGGTGTGCCATTAAGTTAATTTAAGACAGTCATGATTCATTTAAATACTTATTGAGTACCGCTGGGTACCAACACGATGTGGGCAGGCATGCAGTGATAAACTGTGTCACTATACATTGGGGTCAGGAATATAAAGACAATCAGCAAGTGACAACGAGATCACTCGGAGTGTGCAAAGCCCTGTCAGGTCCTTCCAGAAATGAAGTCTTAACAAAGAAAGCACAGCCAGGCCCATGCATTTCTGTTTGTCTGATTCCATCCTACACTAGCCATGTCAATAGGTACGGCAGACTTTACGGCTCACAAAGGTGAAAATATTTCCTATTATGCCTCTACCGATACAGCATGCCCAGCACTGACTTGGAGTATGTGAGGTCAGTGACTTCCCTGGAGAGAGAACACTTTAGCTAAACCCTGAAATAATGAGTGTAAAGATATCTAAGTGAGAAGTGAGGGCATGCACATAGAGAGGAGACTGTAGGGAAAGGAAGATGCATAGGCCCAGGGAGTACAGGAGCCTGGTATGCCTCACGAATCAGGACCAAGCAATGGTGAATGTAACGTAATGCATAAGTGACAAATGCACTTGAGGACAAATCTGGGAGGTGGGGAGACAGCAGGTACTGGGGAGTCCTTTGCAGACTCCTCTGGTTTTCAATGCAATGGGCAACGACTGATGTGTTGGAAACAGGAATATGACCCTGAGTAACCTGCTTCACAGGGTTGCCATGGGCATCTGTATGAGAGAGGACTCGGAAGAGGTCCTGGCTTACTGCAGGCGTGCCAGGCAAAATGTGATGGGGGAAGAGAGACGATGCTACGGAAAGTAGGAAGGCTGAAGTAGGACCTTCCTTCCTGATAAACCTTTTGTTTTGAAATCAACAGGACTGTGTTGTGTAATACTAAAATTTACTTTGAGGGTTGAAACTGTTTGAAGCAGTCACCCATGCACACCCAGTCAACAACACTGAAAATGTAACGCTAGGTGGCAGAATTTACGCCATGGTACATTTTGTTCCTAAAGGATCGGTCTTCACATTTATCTTCCTGTCTGCCCATCACTTATTCTGAGACCTGTCCCTTGAGAGTCATGTTCCCCTGTACCTCTGGCCATGCTGGCAGAAGCAGGAGTGGCCTCAAGACCCAGAGGACAATTGAAGTGCTAACTGGCCCTAATCCCAGTGGGATCCAGTTCCTATTGACCCTGCCTGACCCTGGGATTCAACAAGGACACACACACCCTAATAATTTATTTCTCATGGGGTGAGGCACAACACATTTTGTGTGGGGTGTGCTTCATTGTTTCTCTGCTGCAAGGTGTGTCTCTGTCCTATGTTCATGTTAACAACAAAAAAATCCATCTTAGATCATACTCCAGAAATTGACTTGAAACGGATCGTCTACTTATGGCAGATGAGGCATTTTCTTTCATGCATGTGAATGCTAACCATCCACAGTAAATTAGTAGGGGAAAAAAACCTCTCCAAGCCCAAGTTACATTTTAGGTTAGCGGTCACCCCGCACTCAGAGACTGGAACAATGTTTTTAGAATGTGAAAGCACTGGTAAGTCTCTTAAATGAGATCTATGTCCTTTGAGTAGACATTTGCTTAGGGCAACCTGAAACTGATGCTTGGAAACTACAAGGGAATGCTGCTCTCATTTTGCCTAGCAACTTCTGTCCCTCTGCAGGGGAGCAAGGAGGGCTAAGGAGGCTGGATGCTACAGAAAGAGGTTAGATAAGGCCAAAAGCAATGCATCTTGAAAGGGGGGGCGAAATAAAAAAGGATTTACCCATTGATGACCCCATTTGAATAGCCCAGGTGTTCAGCAAAGGATTCCTTGAAAAGAGAGAAGAATGTGACTTTAATATGCAATCGTTAACTTTTTGGTTTCTCTAGTATGTCTAAAGCTCAGTCAAAGCAAATCAAACGATTCCCAGAGAGCGAATCAGAAACTCAGGTCTCTGAGGTCCCTTTCTGTTCCATTGGAGAGTGCCTGAGCATGCCTTGGCTAGGAGCTGAACCTGGAGCTCTTTCTGGGGAATTCACCCACAAGTCCAAGTAAAAGACAGAGTTTAATGCAAGCCCATCACAACTATCGTGTAAGCGTAAACATAACACAGCAACAGCAAGCAATAGAAATAATAGCCATTATATAACATTCACTGACTCCCTCTCAGGCCTCCCTTTTCTCTTTACAAATAAAGCCCTAACCATACTAGACCAGTGGTTCTCAACCTTCCTAACACTGCAACCCTTTTAATACAGTTCCACACATAGGCTGGGAGTTTTAGACCAGTGTAGGCCACACAGAGAGACCCCTGCTCAAAATAAAACATGGTTTTCATTTCTCAGGTTTGAAGGTCCTAAGAGAGATAACTCCAGTCTCAAAACTGGGGGTTGTGGAATTATCTGGTATCTCTACCCGGTGTGTGGAACACAAAGCAGAAAATTGGCAAACATGCACAGCATCTTGAGCCTATAATAGCCAGAGTCTGTGGTAGTTTCAATGTAATTGGCCCCTATAATCTGGCACTGAAGGTGGAAAACAGAAAGCTGGTGAAGATGTAATTGAACAAGGGGGCCATGTTCCAGCCCCAGAACACAGCAGAACTTGGCAGCTCCAGCTATGTGGTTCTGGCTTTAGAGTTAAGGATAGAAGAAATGGGTTATGGAAATTGCCTCCATGCCTAAGGAATACCGCTGTGGACAGGCATGTGTCAGGGTGTCCCTGAATGGAGGCCTAGTAGAGAGGCCATGTGTGAAGTCGTGATGCTGAAGAGCTATGGAATACCTGCTGAGGAGAGCTGCTAAGAGGGAGTGGAACCAGCCCAAGAGAAAGAAGTGTGTTGCCATCAACAAAGCTGAACAGAGTTGGAGATCTGAATAGCTTCTTGACATCAGACATGGAGATGCAGACTTTGGAGTTTGCCCAGCTGGTTTTTGGTCTTGCTTTGGTCCAGTATTTCCTCACTATGTCCCCTTCCCTGAATTTTGAAATGGTAACGTATATCCTGTGCTATTATATATTGGAAGCATATGATCTGCTTTTTGATTTTTACAGGGGAGTTACAGTTAAGGGATTGCCATGCGTCTCAGAAGATACTTTGGACTTCAAAACAAGTTTGAGGCTGTTATAGACTATGGGGACTTTTGGAGTTGGACTGAATGCATTTTTTTGCATTATGATATAACTATAAGCCTTTAGGGGCCAGGGAGTGGAATGTGGTGGTTTGAAAGAAAATGACCCCCAAAGGGAATGACACTATGAGGAGGCATGGCCTTGTTGAAGGAAGTATGTCATTGTTGGGGTGTGCTTTGAGGTCTCTTTTGCTCAAGCTTCCCTCAGTGTGACAGTTGACTTCTTGTGAATTTCAGTCAAGATGTAGCCAGCACAACATCTGCCTGCATGCTGCCATGTTCCCATCATGATGATAATGGACTGAACCTCTGAATCTTTAAGCAAGCCCTTCCAATGAAATGTTTTCTATTCCTTTATAAGAGTTGCTGTGGTCATGGTGTCTCTTCACATTAATAAAACCCTAACTAAGACAGAGTCAGTGACAACTGCAGGCTCTGGTTTCTAGGACCGTCCTCGAAACTGTTGTATAAACAAGTACCCATGCAGTGTGTCTGTCTATTCACAGACAGCCATTTAAAGTGCAAACAAGCAGGCAATGGAGAACATCTGCCCAGAACCTCCCCACACTACTCTTCTTCTTGGAGCTCCAGATACCCAGAGAGATAAATTCCCCTTCCTTCCCAAATGGCCCTACATGAAGGAAGAATGACATGCTATTTCATAATTGCTAAGACACCACAGTTCTTTATAGGAAAGAATAATATCTCAAAACTGCTTTAGGAATAGGAGGGTAGGTGAAAAGTTAACCACAATGTAAGCATTGCACCATTAGAAATTGTTTCTTGCTGGGCGTTGGTGGCGCTTGCCTTTAATCCCAGCACCCGGGAGGCAGAGGCAGGTGGATCTCTGTGAGTTCGAGGCCAGCCTGGTCTCCAGAGCGAGTGCTAGGATAGGCTTCAAAGCTACACAGAGAAACCCTGTCGCGAAAAACCAAAAAAAAAAAAAAAGAAAGAAAGAAAGAAAGAAAGAAAGAAAGAAATTATTTCTTATGCTGCCCTGCTCCCTATCCCAGTACACTACCTTCCATCTACTTAATGTGATTTTTTTAATGAGCTACTTCGTGTATTCTAACCTTTGTGTTGACTCAAAAGGTTGGAGAGAAGGCCCTCTCAGTTCAGAGTACTGGTTGCTCTTCCAGAGGACCCAGGTTCTATTCCCAGCACCCACTTGGCAGCTCACAAACATCTGTATCTCCAGTTCCAGGGGATCCAACACCCTCTTCTTGCTTCCAGGACCACCAGGCACATAAGTAATGCACAGACAGGCATGCAGGAAAAACACTCATATACATATTTTTTTTGGGGGGGGTTTGAGACAGGGTTTCTCTGTGGTTTTAGAGGCTGTCCTGGAACTAGCTCTTGTAGACCAGGATGGTCTTGAACTCACAGAGATCCGACTGCCTCTGCCTCCCAAGTGCTGGGATTAAAGGCGTGCAAAAAAAAATTAATTTTCAAAGTTGATCCACCCACCAGACCTAGAATCTCTTTCTCTCAGTACAAAGGCAGGAGACAGCTTAGAGGGTCAAGACTTGCCCCACCCAGTCACAGTGACAAAGCAGCCTGAGAGAGGATCTCACCATTGCAATAATGGATTGTCCTTCATCTGAATATCTAAACAGCTACAGCTTGTCAGTAGAACTTTTAAAAGTGTTCACAGAGTTCAAATTTTGTTCAGATCTATAAACACATCCCCTCCTTATCCTGGAGCTCTGTCTCAACTATGCTGTGTAACGCTTGATGGACATGGTCTCCTGTATCTAGACACCCTGCTATTGCATATGGACACTCTGTTATTTCTAGGGATATTGTCCCTTATGTCCATAAATACTCTCATCTGCATCCCCACATGTTCTCTGTCCTCTCTGTCACATACTCACCCCGGCATCCATGTCATAGCTAGAGTTAATATTGCTGTGATGAAACACCATGACCAATAGCAACTTGGGGAACAGAGAATTTATTTGGCTTACATATCCTGAATCACAATCCATTGAGGGAAGGCAAGACAAGAACTCGAACAGGGAAGGAACCTGGAGGCAGGAGTGCATACAGAAGCCATGGAGGGGTGATGCTTACTGGCCTGCTCTTCATGGCTTTATCAACCTGCTTTCTTATAGTAGTTGGGACCACCAGCCCAGGAATGTCTCCACACACAATACACTGGACCCTCTCCCATCAATCGTTAATTAGGAAAATGTACTACAGGCTTGCCTATAACCAGATATTCAAGAGGCATTTTTCTCAATGGAGGATCCTTCCTGTCAGATGACTACAGCTGTGACAAGTTGACATAAAACTAGCAACACAGTCTAAAAGTACTCTATCTAGCAAGCAGATACTCCCATGTCTATGGGTACTCTCTCTGAATGTATGGATATTCTCCCTTCTGTCATATCCCTCCTAAGGTCAACAGTTCCCTTATGTATGCTCTCCCTGTCTATGAATGCTATCCCTGTATCTCAGGATGTTACCCCTGGGATCATGGATGTACTCCTTACAAGTATGCATACCCTCCTCTGTCCTCGGATCTCTATCCATAGATATCTCTAACAACAGAAGTCCTCCTGGTATCTACAGAGGGTCTTCTATATATCAGAACTCTACCCCTGTGATCAAAGATGCTCTCCTAATGTTTTTGGATGTTCTCCTTTTGTTCACAGATGCTCTGTGTCTATGGACAGTTCCCTTTGTCCTTGGATGATCTCCTTGTGTCTATGGACACTCTCCCTCCATCCATAGATGTTCACCTATATGTGTGGATGATCTCACTCTGCCCATAGGAAGATGCTCTTCCTATGTCCTTGGACACTCTATATACAAAATGCTTTCTCATACATCCACAGACACTCTCTGATCCATGTAAGGATCTTCTTCCTTCCCTGTGGATTCTCCCTCTTATATCTACAGAAGCTCTTTCCTAAGGACTTGAAGACCATAGTGGTGCCAGGATGGGCCTGTAATATGGGGAGGGGTAGTAAGAAAGTTTCAACTGATCCAACATGCATGAATGCCAAAATAGGCTGGAATGGGGTGACAGGAATACTCAAAGCTAAGAATATTTCAGCTCATTTTGTCCTGCAAATCAGGACAGCTTTTATTGTCTGGAAGGTTCTGTCAATTGTTTAAATAGACTATAGCCCTACAGCGCTTTTCCTCTTGGCCTTTTCTCTTGTTTAGTTTATAGTAGGCAGTGGCCCTTGTGATATCAACTGTCTTAGGCCCATGTGGTTCTGCAGATGGTGAAGGTGGCTTCTTGATACTTCTGCTGAAGCCAACTGCTCCACTAGACTGAAACTTGTCAATGAAGGAATTTCATTCACATGGAGCAGAGAAAAAAATGTCCTATGATCTATAAACAGTGTTCTAGAGACCTTAGCATCAGAGCAAAGCAACAATCCACATCATCATGATAGAAAACAGGCAGGAAAAAAATATCAATCTATTCCATAGGCTAAAGCCAGCATCTCTCACAAGCATAATATTTCAAGAACATCATTCTCTTCAATATCTATAAACACATTATTTAAGTATTTCTCCCAGCACCCTTCAGAGGAAGCTGGCTGCATCTGTCATTATCTTCAATTTCAGAGCTCCAACAGTAACAAGGTAATTCACAGCATTTACCCAAATCCACATAATGAGCCGGCGCTCCCAACATTTCCTCACTACTTTAAACTCTTAGTTATAAAATTTCAGCTGCTCAGGCAGTCAGTGCCAAAGTGCATCCACACCTAGGAAACAGGTCTATTAATTCTACCAGAAAAGCTGAACCATGCCGGCTGGACAGCCCCACATATGTGGTACACATATTTGGGGGTTTGCCTTTCTAAATAAATACAAGATATAGACTCACCTCAATGTGCTGGAACATATATGGGTGGTTGCAAATTTTTCTCAGCTGCATGATAGTGTTCATAAGCGTCTTGGCACCTCCTTTCCCCTGAGCAAAAAGTACAATGAAAAGAATGGAATTAATTATTCATTGATCAAGTATTTTCAAGCTTTTAAAAACTAGGCTTCAAGACCAAGGCTGTAGCTCACTGGTAGAGCCTGTGCCCAGCTTATGAAAGGTCTGAGTACAAGTCTAGCATTGAAGAAAGAGAGAGGGGGTGGGGGAGGAAAGGACTGACAGACTGACTAACGTATAGAAAGAACACAGTGTCCTACCTCATTTAGTACCTACACACCTTGAACCCAGAGTTCAGGGTGTCATTTAGACATCTCTGGATCAGACATAGTGTTGCCCTTGTGATTAACTTATCCTACAGAAAAGTAAATCTTACAAAATCAATTCAAGATGATGGCTTTGTTTTCCTACAGAAAAGTAAATCTTACAAAATCAATTCAAGATGATGGCTTTGTGTCAGTACTGTCCATAGGTGTTGCAGAATATTTGTTAACACTATAAAGATGTGTCTCTGGCTAAGGTACTTCTGATTGGTTTAAGAAAGAGCTAAATGGCCAATAGCTAAGCAGGAGAGATAGGCGGGACTGCCAGGCAAAGAGGAACCCTGAAATACATTTAGGCAGAGGAGAGAAACCAGCCAGATGCAGAATGGGACAGAGTTTAACCATGCTGTAGAATGTAGATGAATAAAAATATGGACTAATTTAAGTTGTGAGAGCTAGTTGAAAACAAGCCTAGGTGAAAGAATTAATCATAAGTCTCTGTGTCACTATTTGGGAGCTTGGCTGGTGGGACAAAGAAAGACTCATAGGATTATACATAGGATTCTGGTAGACCATGCACAAAGGATGCTAAGGAGAGAAACTGGACTTTAAAATGTCCTAAAATACCACCCAACACTGGGCACCTTGAATTTTCTGCTGAGCTATCATGAGTGGTTAAGTCTTTGATAACAGAAACACTAGCGGGGCACAGACCCGCTTTTGTCCCACTCCAATGTAGTTAACAGGGTAATGATGGCACTGGCAGCTACTGCTGCCATCCCAAAGATCCAGTGCTTTCCAGGAACAAGCCACTGTTCACAGGAAGGCTTCCTGGAAATGCTCAAGGCTGCAGCCAGGAGAAGATGAGAAGACATTCTGCAATACTTGAGTCTCCCGGCCTTTGCAACATACCTTCTTATCTTTTTCAGAACCGTCAGTGAGGAGGATCCCCTTGGCCTGCATATGACGATACAGAATCTTCTGCAGAGCTGACATGTCGCACTTGATCACATACTCAACCTGGGGACAGAGCAGGATATGGATAAGCACAGGAAAGCAAGTGGCTGCTTGAAGAAGGCAGTGGAGAAGGGGCTGCTGGGGCCAGTCCTGGAAGCACATCTGATTCCCCTTCCAGGATTCAGGCAGAGCTAGGACAGGGCCACAGAGCAGACCAGAGTCCCCAGGGTCAAAAGAACCATGACAATGCTAAGTCCTTTATAAGGCTGCATGTAGAAAATGTAAGGTGCCGATTCCTAAAATTTCTTGATCTCATATTTGAGACAGGGAGTGGCTTGCCAACTGTGCTATATAAAAATGTTCCTTACAGTGAATTTTTAATATTACTCCTGCTTCTTGATCCTGTATACTTCCTTATGAGCTCAAGAGAAAACAAGTGACTGCCCCCAGATCCTATTTTTTTTTTTTTTTTTTGGTAAAACATCTTTAACTGGCTACATGCCACCACACCAGCAGTCATCTGGTAGTAAGATTTATAACAGACCTAGGTTGACTGTCATTAACCTCTACTCTGGGGAAATGATAGGATATACCACTGTGAAGATAAGAGGTTAAGAAGAATTAACTCACAGCAGGACACAACTTCTACAACCTCATAGCTGTCTGAAGCAGGACAGGGTCCCCTGTGTGTTCAGTTTTGATAAAACAAAGTGCAACTTAAAAGGATTCACACGCCCACAGTCTATCACACACTTGCAAGCCTTTAGCATCCTCCGAGTGCAGACAACAAGATGTACTTCTATGGCCATTCTCCCTTAGTCACAGGAATATAAACACACACATTTCAAAGCAAATGCCAGATGACCACCTGGATATCTAAGAATGTGACTAAAGGAAATCGGCCAACTGCCTGGTGTCTAATCAGCTGTGTACAAATGTCTTCAGCTGTGAGGGCCAGAGAGAGAAGGTCACAGATGAAGAGAAGCTTAAAATTCACTCAGCTGTAACTTAAAAGGAGCCCAAGGCCTGGCAGGCACACCTGGGTGTCTCTTTACACTAGGCAACTACAGGAAGGAAGGCTTACTTTTTTGCATGAAAGTTAGCTAAATGGGGTAACCCATCAGGCCAGTTAATAACCTTTCAGGTAAGAGCGGAAACACAAATTTTTTAAATTTATCAAGTCAGTACACACCGAACGTAGGCTTTGTGCTTTGCCTATTTGCTCATGTCTTCTCTTTATTCTCCTTTTCTTTAAACATTTTCTTGTGCTGTGCAGTTTTCCTGAGGTATAACTGACACAGATTACACATATTTAACGGACATAGTGGGATCTTTTCCTCCACACATTCACTGCATAGGAATTACCACTACCCTATCTTTTCAAGAGCTCTCAACTTGCAACAAAAATTTGATTGTGGTGAAGAAAAAATGTTAAGTTCAGACTTTAAGTGGTTTAACAATGATGGCATCAAGGGCCAGTCTTGAGGTCTATGCCAAGTGCTTGATGTGCCTTTTCTCATTTAATCCCTACAAAGTCTGCATGGGGTGGTCACATTTAGTCTGCTCGTTTCACAGACAAAGAACCCAAGCATCCAGGAGGTTTGCTCCAAGCTCAAAATATGTCTGCTCTTTCAGACTCACGCTAAGCATGAGCAATGAGACTGGTTCACAGGCGCGGCCTGGTGTTCGCGCTTGCCTGGTGCCACCTCTCCGCTGCCTCATTCACACTTTCCTGAGTAAAGAGGACACAGCTGGTGTTTTTTAAAGGTGTGCCAGGAGATGGAAGATCCAGAGTCAAGGACAGAACTTTCTACCTGTCAGTCAGCTGCCACTCAGGAAGAGGGAGGCAGCCTGCTGATACCATGGAGACAGGTTGCCAAGCATCCAAACAGAGAGAAGACCCTCTAGAGCAGTGGTTCTCAACTTCCCTAATGCTTCGACCCTTTAATACAGCTCTTCACGCTGGGGTGATTTTCACCCCAACCATAAAATTATTTCATTACTGCTTCCTGATTGTAATTTTGCTACTGTTAGTGGATAAGCAAGCAGGATATCTGATATGAGACTCCCAAAGGGCTTGTAACCCACACTTTTGAGAACCACTGCTCTAGAGGACTACCTAGCTACACGGGAAAGAAGACACCCAAGGCCTCCTCCCTTGCATCAAGAGGGTTAAGAAAAGCTAGTGAGATCCAAGGACCAAATCTCTTGTTACCCAAGATCTTCCCCCAAGACCAATGAGATGGCACAGAAGGGAAAGGTGCTTGCCTCCAAGTCTGATGATTTGAAGGCAGTCCCTGAGATCCACATTGTACAAGGAGAGAACCAACTCCTGAAAGTTATCTTTTGACCTCCACAGGCACCATGACATGTATGGATGAAGTTCCATCATATCATATGCACATGGGTGTGTACACACATGTACCAAATAAATAAATGTAATTTTTGAAAATATCCCCTAAGAGCCCTCTCAATCAAAAACAATTTCCTCCTCCATCATGTCCCTCAAAGAAAATGGCCCTGGACCTTGTTTGGTGACAAAACTCATCTTTGCAATATATGGCTGTAAATTTTGTTAAGAAGGATTATACACATGTACTAATATTAACATTTCAAGATAAGAGTTGAGGTCCATAGTGCAGTGGGACAAAGTTAAAGATCGATACTTTGCATCCTTATATAATGATGCCAGTATGATGATATCTAAAGTTTTTTTTTTTTTTTTTTTATCAGTTCCAACCTGATTACTCTACGAGCAGCTAATGGAAACCTGATGAAGAATACAGAAGAAACCTCATGGCTTTCTTCTCACTGCTCCGTACTCACACTATTCCACATTTCTACCTCGACTCCTTGGCAGATTCTTGTCAATCCTCTAGGGTCCACAGGTATTAGCCCAGTTAAAAATCAGACCAGGTTTGGAGATACAGCTCAGTTAGAGCAGGTGCCCAGCACGTGTGAGCTCCTGATTCTCAATCCCCAACACTTTGAAGCAAAAAAAAAAAAAAAATCAGATCACACAAAGTCCACTGTTGCAGACAAAGGGAGACTCAGAAGCCATCACAACAGGCTTCTGAGCCTGAGCACACAGGCAAGTAAGAACGACCAGACACTGAGATGTTCTACTGGGAGGATCCAATCCACACCTCCTCTATGACCATCCAAGTCCAGGAGTGACCTTGTGGCAGGCATACATACTATCTGTTATCAGTGTCACTGTGCATACTGCAGATCTACAGAGCTTAATGTTTTTATTCTAAGAGAAACACAAATATACATAGCCACCCCAACATCATTCTACACTCCAGTGGCTTATAATTGAGCACCCTCTGCATACCCTGCTGCTACTCCCACATATGGGCACTGGAGACCCCTTCCTTAAAGCAACTGAAAGGCAGGGTCATTCACTTTGATAATTGGGTGAAGCTGCCTCCCATTGCAACACCAGTATTTGGTATGAACATATCTGATGTCAACCAATCATATCATATCTTCCATTTCTGAGGTTAAACATTTTATTTGTGCTGAGTGCAAGGAACTGTGCAGAGGAACCAACTGATAGCTACAGACAGAGAAAATGGACAAACTGAAGAATCCCAATAGTGGTGGCCATTTCAACTGGGTTGGGTCTGAGCTCACCCTCCCCAGATGCAACGGCACTCAAGTAAAGCAGTCTGTGAGAGTTCCTCTAAACACACAGGTCCAAAAAGTAAAGCTGGTGACTTCTGAAAAGGGATGTCCCTTGCCAAGAGATAGTCTGACAGCTACGGGAACTTTGATAATTCAAGTTCTAAGAACAACTGAGGCACTGACTTCAAGGAGTCTGTGTTAGTGAAGGGCCCAATGGGTTCCCACAAGTGAATCTACTGATTATGTTGTCTAAGGGCCCCCAACACCTATTTTAATTCCTGCCCCCATTCAAGTCAGTAGAGCTCGAGCTTTCCTCAGAGCTCCTGCCTGTGGACTGCTCTTCACTCAAAATTTTCATTCCAAAAGGACAGACCATTAGAACAATGAACCTGGGCTGGTGTGAGACATAATGTGGTAAACTGAGAGTTTTCAACAAACAATTCAACTAATGAAGGTCTCAGGTCCTGGAATCCAAGACATGAGAGATGTCGTGATGATTAATTAATTCTATGAAGCATCCCCAGCTTCTATATAATGAATGCACAAGTTTTCCATTGACACAAAGCTTTTCCTATGCTCTACACAAATTATGTATTAAAAAAATTAAGATTGATGCTAGCTGGTCCAAGTTCTCTTATTAACTTCAGACACTGAACATGCACATGTGCACACCCAGAGATGCCACTGTACACACAGCCAACTGCATCACTAGTCTTAAGACTATGCATTCACAAAGAAAAAGAATCAGCACAGACAACATCAATGGGAGCTCAATAAAGAATTATGTTGTCATTTAGTTTAAGTAGCCTTACATAATTCCTATTCTTTGAACTGGCTCTTTCCTGAATATGAGAAGTGGCCTTTGCCATAGGCCAGGGGCACAGTGTATTCCCCTGCTCATTAGGTATTCCATTAGCCCATTATGAGAGCTGACTTTCCTCTGCAACAGAGTTGTCCTTATTTTTATTATTATTATTTTTTAATTTTTTTGGTTTTTCGAGACAGGGTTTCTCTGTGTAGCTTTGGAGCCTGTCCTGGCACTCGCTCTGGAGACCAGGCTGGCCTCGAACTCACAGAGATCTGCCTGCCTCTGCCTCCCAAGTGCTGGGATTAAAGGCGTGCGCCACCAACGCCCAGCCGGAGTTGCCTTTAGTGTCCCCCAAGTGTGTATGCAAAGATACTCAACTCAACACTGTGTAATATCAAAGAAATGGAATTAAAGATACAACTTCATACCTACTGAAATATGAAAACCAACAGCAATGACAATAAAAACACATCTGGCAACACCAAGCACTGATGAGCATGAGGAAGAACTGGAATGCTTCCTCACGGTAGGACTACCAAGCACGAAAGGGACTGAGAACACATGGTTTTATAAGACCCTTATAAACCATTCATTAACCAAATAACCTAGTAATCATGCCTCTGGGTGCTTACTCAAGTGAAACAAAACTATGTCACACAAAAGCCTGAATGCAGATGTGTAAGCAGCTCGACTCAGATCATCAGGGGCTGGAGAGATGGCTCAGCAGTTAGAACATTTACTGCTCCCACAGAGGGCACAGGTTTGTTCCCAGCACCCACACTGGGCAGCAGCTCACAAACACCAGTTCCAGAAAATCTGAACCACTCTTCTGGTCTTCCTAAGTACCTGTATCATGTGGTACATAGAAACTCATGTGGGGGCATTCACGCCCACCCACCCTCACCCACCCACACTAAGATAACAACTAACAAAAACAACCCACTGTGGGTTGACTTGGGTGACTTTCAAACCCAGCAGCAAGCAGTGACTCACTCTGCTTTCACTCAACTGGCATTCTTCAGGGTCAGAGAACATCTCAGGGGCCACATGAGGCTAAGCACAGGGAGGGAAGATAGTGAGCATGGCAGTACTGTACTCGGGGTACAAAACAATACTGGCATAGCTACGCAAAAGAGAGGAGGTTAGGTGAGGGAACAGTGGAGTAGTTTGGTTCTGAACACAGTGAAGTAGATGTTTGCTTAGACCACAGAACTGTAAAGTAAAAGGAGTACAGTTCTATATAGAAACTTTACTAGCTGTAAATGAAAATTAAGATTAAAATGCACTTCCCTGACCCTTCTTCATGAAAACGTTTGAGAATAAAACACTATAGATGGATTTAGCTTTTTTTCAGCTCAGGCCATGTAAGACATAACACACTCTGCTGTAATGAAAGCAAGAGGTAGTAGAAAAACTCCTCACCCCCAAGGAAGATGGTTAAAGTTCCAACTTTCCCCAGGTTTAAAAAAAAAAAAAAAAGGTACTAACAATGTAATGAAAGTAGAGAATAGGGATTGAACTGGGTCAACAACAGCCACGTAAATGCTCTAGGTGGTTCACAGGTAGAGATGAAAGAGGGCTATGGAAAACACAGTCAAGACAGAGAATGGTGAGGAAAGACTTCAGATGGGCAAGAGAGTTGAGCTTCCATCAACAACAGAAACCTGGAGAACAATAGACACTCAAGGACAAAACAAAAACAAAACACCAGGACAGCAGAAATTGTACCAGGTTTGTGCTCATGTGCTAGCACCTAGAGCTCACAGTAGTCCTGTGTGGCAGATGTTACATGTTTTCCTGGTCACTAATGAGACCAATGGGCCACCTGGCCTAAATGACTTGCCAACATTCACATCATAAGCAATGGAGAATGCAGGGGGTCCTGAATCCACTGATGGGCAGAGTCAACAGTTTCAACTCCACCAAGCAGCCTCCAGGACAAGGGAAAATGGTTGCCTTTAAAGACCTGGATACCTAGAAAGACATCCACGGATAGCAACACACACAGAGCATCTCTATTACCCAGAGGTCAAGACCACGGGAAGGTGAAGGGAATAATAACAGCACTTGATCCCCAAGATGCATTCACTAACAAAGTAAAAATACATGCTTAGACTTTTACTAAGATAAGCATAGTATAAGATCTCTATTTTTAATTTTTTATGACTATTAATGAATAAGGAATTAAGGTATAAAATTACATCATAGCAAAGTGATCAACTCTGCCCAGTCATTTGCCAACTCCTGCCTTACAAAAGACAGGATGCACCAATCTGTCCAGTATTTGTTACCCAAGAAAAATCCACAACCATAAAATAACAGGACATCTTAGATTTAACCCATCAAGAGAAATGCAAATAAAAGATGTCATACAAAAACAAACAGGCAAGCAAACAACAACAACACCCCAAACCAGTATCGAACCCCAAGCAAGCTACCTTTTAGAGGATGTAAGTTCAGGTGTAGGTTGTAGCAGAATAGGACCAGAGGTACAGTAATTGAAATCTAAGTCCAATACCAATCAAGGCCCAAAGAAACTCAACAGAACCAAAAACTATTTCCAAAGAGAAATGTGAAAACTACTTGCCTAGAAGTTCCCAGGCAAGTCAGTCTACAGGAACTTAGTTACACCACACAAATGCACATCCCAGTCTGCCCATCTAAAGCAACTCTCTATCAAAACAATAACATCACAAATATTGAACACTGGATGAAGGTTCAGGAAACCTGGCAGATGCTTACTGATCCCTTCAATTTCCCTTCAGTGATGACACAAGTACCAAATGCCAATCCGTATTTGCCTTAAAGCAGGACAGTTCTGAAGTGCCTCCAGGTGCAACTTCACAAGCTTAGTAACTTAAACAAAAAAGCTAAAGTCAAATTGTAATAGGACTCCATTAATTTCATTATTTTATTAAACCCACTCCAAAGTTATGGAAACCAGACTGAAAATGGGACCCTACCCCACCCAGCTCCATCAAACACAGAGAGTCCTCGAGTATGTTTTCCAGATATTTTGCATCTGCACTCTAGGCCTGTTACTTTAGACATGCAGCCTCAGAGGCGGGTGCTGAAAACGCATGCACAGGAATGGGAAAAACTGCAACTGACCTTTTCTGGAAGCTGGGATTCAACCTCTTTCTTCAGTCTCCTCAGTAAAAAGGGTCTCAACACCTTGTGCAGACGCCTGATGATCAAGATAGTTTCTTCTTCATTTAAGTCCACCTACAAAACAGCCTTAGATGAATTCGTGAAGGAAGTTTCACACAGAGAAACTTTGTATTTCAATATGCTACTGAGATTTCACATGCTATAAAGCCGGGTTTATGAGAGCCTTCTACACCTCTAAATCCTCTTCCCACCTGCCTACCCCTTGGGAATAGAATGACCTCCAAATAGGTGTCTTTGCCTTAGAGTCTAGTTCTGTGGGAATGGGCCCACATTAGTAATATGAACAGCCCCAAACATAGACTATGGACAACAATAAGGGCTAACTTAAGAGTGACAGATGGGAAAAGGTAGCAACAGTTTGTGTGCTCCTACATCAGTGGAAGCCCTTGAGGTTTGTTTGCCCAGTGCAGAAATATACAAAGGGATGGGTGCTTGAAAATGAAAATGGGAAGAACTAGAGCAAGTGCTCTTTAAGCTAGGAGGGCTCCTGGCTCCTCCATCATCGCTCCTTTCCCTTTCTTGGCCCAAGTCTTTGTTCACCTTCCTTTGTTAGCCTCTAGGGGGCAGAATTAATTGACATTGCTTTCTCTAAATGGGCAAGTGAGTTAATGAGCAGCAAATGTACCTACCTACAAGGTACCTCAAGACAAAGGATTAAGAGTTCAAACATAGTTTCTCTAAAGCATTTTCGTGTGGCTTTTCATTCCTATAATCAAGGAAACGTCAATCAAAAGGGCATGTGTCCCTTCCGGGGATTTTTTTCCTTGCAATAGCCCAAGCTTGCCTTTCATGGGCTCAAAGAGAAGATGGTTAAAGGAATAATAATAACAGCAACAATAATAAAGATGATAATGATAATAATAATAATAATACATTTGAGAATAGCTACTCCAGGATTTAAGGAGTATTTATGTACAGATAAAAATGGAGGCTTACACTAAAACCTGAAAAAAAAATGTGTGGAAAATTAATACATTACACTCAAACTCTATGTGGAAGTATGTCTAAGGAGAGTCTTGTGTTTATAACAAGGAAAGATTTCTGCGTTCATATTGGATTGGTTGAGTTGGTTTGGTTATACTGATCAAGTCATTCTCACCCTCCCTGTGGCATGCTGTGGTTGAACACTATCAGTCTGGAAAAAGCTGGCAAAAGGCAAAGAGGCTGGGATGCCCCATATGAATCTAGATTCAGAGGAGAAAACATAATCCCAAATGAGACCAGATCCCATCCACTGACCAAAAAACATTGTAAACCACCTGTGAGGTTTCTGTGGCTCTTATATTCCAAGTTTTATGCCCTCTGCTTTCATTTTACCACCACACAGTGGAAAATATACACAAACACATACACACACATAGACTTACAGTCTCTCTCTCTCTCCCCCTCTCTCTCTCTCTCCCACACACACAGTCTCTCTCTCTCTCTCTCTCTCACACACACACACATACATAAACACACACACACTTACAGTCTCTCACACACACATACACATAGACTTACAGACTCCCTCCCTCTCTCTCTCTCTCTCTCTCTCTCTCACACACACACACAAACACACACACACTCTCTCACACACACACATACACATAGACTTACAGACTCCCTCCCTCTCTCTCTCTC